CTATATTCAAATCACCACCATCATCGTTATGTGTATCTATGTATGTATTTATGTTGTGTCTATGTATGTATGTATGTATACGTGCCTATTCCTTAAAACCTGTCTAAATACCGATAATCACAGTTAGCGCTTTTTTCCTATGATATTTGACTGGGTATTAACAAATGAATAAAAGGAATTTTAATTAGAATTTAATTAAACGTAAAATGAAATTTAATTTGAAATCATTGGCGATAATCTGGAAATAAATCCTATATCAAAAAAACGTTTGAGAATCTTAAGAAAAATTATTATCGAGACCCAAAAATATGATGAAGGATTTACACAAAATACCCGGTATAGAGAAAGAAAGCCCTATAAATACCTACCAATACAATGAATACCAGAAAAAAGAAATTAAAATACGCTTATGTATATTTTTATTCCAATCCGTTCATCGAAGCAGTCGGTCAGTTTCGCATTAGCGTTTCATTACTCACACAATCACATCATTACCACGTGAATATTATCAATTAGTCTTTCTTTCTTCATTCCTCCTTCTCTCTCTCTCTCTCTCTCTCTCTCTCTCTCTCTTTCTCACTCCTTCTCTCTGTCTTTCATTTTTTCACTTTCTTTCATTCTCCTTTTCTATCTATTTTTTATTTTTTTCTCTGTCTCTTTCGTCCTATCTTCATGTATTCTCTCTCTCTTTTCTCTCTCTCTCTCTCTTTCTCTCTCTCTCTTTGTCTTTCTTCTTCTTCTCTCTCTTTCTTTTTTTGATAATGATGATAAAGATGCGGACGATTATACGATAACAAGTTGTTAAATGTTGGTAATTGTTACGAAAAAAGACTGTTATCATCATCATCATCATCATCATCATTATTATTATTATTATTATTATTATTATTATTATTATTATTATTATGATACTGTCCTTGATGCTAACATTAGATGATACAAAAATGATTGCAAGATGATATCGAGTGATATAACAGAGAAAAAAAATAACCAGACCAGATAAAACAAAACGCACCAACCTGAGGTAATGACGTCACAGCATCCGTCGTCCAATCGGCAGAGAGATTCCATAACGGTCTCGTAACCTGGAATGGTTTGACAATTTTTATTGGATGTAATATTTGGCGAAAAAACATAAACATACACATGTATAAGCATGCATACAGAAAAATAATTATACACGAATAAAACTACACGTACACAATTACACACCCACACAAACAAACAAACACACACACAGACGTACAGAGAGACACATTTACAGATAATAATTAATACAAATGTATAACAGTAGATAAACACACCACAAACGTGCATGCCTTAGATTGAAACGCACATAAACAAAGATAAACATCCACACATATACAAACATTTAAACATACAAATTCAAATCATACACGCGTAAGACAAGAGACAAACAAGCAAACACACACAAACGAAAACACTTAATCACATTCACACATAAACGCATACACACAAATATGTACACACACGCACGCACAATTATACACACACAAATATATATCCAATCACACGTACCCACACGCACACAATGACACAAACATACTTCAAAACATACCTGTCCAATTCTCCAAATTAATTCTACCTAAAAACAGGTCTACATTCATCTTTATTTGTATATACACGCACGCGCACACACACGCACACACACGCACACACACGCACAAACACACACAGACACACGCACACACACACATATATGCATATATACTTATACATAATATATACACATATATATTTGTGTGTGCGTGTGTACGTGTGCGGCTGCGGAAGCTGAATTTGAATTTGCAATTAAGAATATACGCCTAAATGCATATTTCTTTTATAGAGTCACGCACACACACACGCACGCACGTGAGCCCACACATACATATATGTATAACTGTGATTATATATATAAATATACTTGTGTCTAATAATATACATGTATATAAATATTCATATATGTAAATATATATAAATATATATTTGTTTCTCTCTATATATATTCATTTAATTGTATATCAACCAAAAAGTAAAATACAACGAGAAACACCATTAAAAACAACAACAGCAACAGCAATAGCAGCAACGACTGAAATCACAGTAATAAAACTGATGCCAGGTTCAGGTTGTGTGTGTGTGGAATGGTAGAGGAAGGTGTACAGAATTAGACCTGACTATGGCGATGAGTTCAGTACGAAAGTATGTTATGAAGGAGATTGTAATAATTATAATATTAATAATAATAATATTATTAATATTAATAATAATAATAATAACCATAATAATAAAGGTGATGATGATGATGGTGGTGGTGGTGTTGATAGTAATGAAGATGGAGATAAAGCCATTGTGGACGATAATAAAGAAGACGACGAGATGACGTAAAATTCAAAACAAAGAACCAATATTAATTACTGATTCTTTGTATAGTGGGAGCATTGTCTCTGAACGACGGAGATGCAGTTATCGATTGAGACTTGTTTAAATATATTAAATTTCAGTAATTAGCGACGTACAGGCAGACATGGCTTACATT